CGTCACCGGCGGGGGTGCACCATCTGGTGGAGTCCCTCAGCGCCCTCCAGGGGGAGAGAAGTCGACTGGCAGAGGAGGTGGCCGGCCTGCGCCAGCGGGCGGACGAGCAGGAGAGGGAGAAGCAGCGGCTGGCGGGCAGCTTCCAGCGTCAGGTGAGAGCCGAAAGCGGAGTTGGTCGTTTCCAGCCAGAAAGCAGCTCCCTTGACCGGTTGCAGCAAAAGGTCTCGTGGCCGCTTCATTGAGTCTCAACGAAGGCTGCTGGAGGCTTTGTTGGGATGGTGCAGAGCCGAGGTGGGTGAAGGGCGGCCCTGGCGATGGGGCTGGATTACAGCCCCCATTGGCCCTTGCAGGCATAGCGGGTGGGAAGGCATGCTGGGAGATGGAGTTCAAGACAGAATTCCCAGCCAAAGGAAGACGGGCAAGGTCAGGTTTGCAAGCGCCTGGCCCGGATTCCCACCAGCAAAATCTGGCGGGTCGATCTTGGCCCCACCACCAGGAAGCTGGTTTACAAGTGAATTATACAGGCAACACATGTCCCCCTCAACAAGCTGACCTTCCTTTTACTGACCTTGGAAGGCTGGAGAGCTGAGTCCACCTTGAGCCGGCTATCTGAGCTTACGAGCAGAGTCTTGACTGCAGGGTGGGGGTGGGGGGTCTGGTCACTAGCCAAAGATGGACCAATCCAGACCTGGCTTCTGCCTGCCCACCCCCCTGGCATCCTGGGGGTGCCACAAAACCTCCCCTCTTGGCCCATGGGGTGCCCACCTGGGACATGCCTGAAAGGGGGCAGAATGATGGGAGATGTGCCCGGAGGGACCCCACACACACACACCTTATTTTAGTTTGCCATCCTCCTGACCCGTTGGCGCCCGTCTCTGTTGGACCAGCTCCGAAAGAGGCATGATGTTTTGGATTTTTTCCTTTCCTGGCAGATCCAAGGCCTGAAGGAGCAGATCCAAGAGCGGGAAGAAGAACTGGAGCAGCTTCGCCTGGGCACGGTGAGCAGGGGGGGGGCACCCACCAGTTGTGCGAGGAGAGCCGCCCTCTGCACCAGACTGGGCTCTCCGCCATGACCTCTGAGGAGGACCCGGTGGGAAAGGGTGCTTGGCGGTGCTCATGAGCTGGGAGAGGGAGGGGTGGGGGTGGGGGGTCTGGTCACTAGCCAAAGATGGACCAATCCAGACCTGGCTTCTGCCTGCCCACCCCCCTGGCATCCTGGGGGTGCCACAAAACCTCCCCTTTACCAAGGGGCCGGGGGGGGCTTGTGCCATGAACACGGGCATTGTTCCTCGCAGGGCGTGACCGACTCCGAGAAGCGCATCCACAACCTGACGGTGGAGAACGAGGGGCTAAAGCAAAGCCTGAACATCACCCAGGGGCTCCTGCAGCAGCTGGCCACCACCCCCACCCCTCCACCGCCCCTGCTGGTCAAGGTGAGGCCCTGCCGTGGGCCGGCCGGGACGTGGCCACCATGCCGCAGGCGGCGGTTCTCCTCTAGAAACAGGAGAGCCACCTCTTGGCAGTGGCGTTTCAGAAATCCTACAAGTTGAGGTTAAAAAAAGGATAAGGATGTTTCTCTGTATGGAAGGAGAAGCATGGAAAGCGTATTGGAGGGAAAGCAGGTCTTTCCAGGGGAGGATGGACCTCACTAAATGCACACAGGAAAAAAAGAAAGAATATAATGGGGAAAGTGGGACAATTCTGCTTTTGTACGTTTCTGAGTGTAGGCGCTTCCCCTGTCCAAAAAAAAAAAAACTGGGGAAGGGGCAGGGGTAGGGTGGGGGCTATGTTGGAGGTTTTTAAACAAAGGTTTTTGGGGGCCAGTGGCCGTGGATGCTTTACAGGTGGATTTCCCGGGATGGCCAGGTTGAGGGAGGGGGGCTCTTGAGGTCCCTTCCTGACAAGCCCCCTGTTCCCTGCTTCTCCGATTCAGGAGGGTTGGGCTCGAATAACGAAAATTAATAACAAAAAGCTGTGATAGAAGCGCGTTACAGGTGAATGCAGCCGACGAAGGGCTCGGGAGGTGGTCTTTCGAGAGGCCTGTCCTCTCTCTCTCTCTCTGCTGTCCCTGCCCCATTTCGGCAAGTGTCGGCGAAAGGACCCGGCGGGCTGGCGCTTGGTGCTGGCGCTCTCGATGGGGCCCTGGGCCGGTTTCTGTTGTCCTGCAGGGATTGGGAATCTGGCTGAGTCCTGGACGATCTTTGAGCACTTGGCCCCCCCCTTCTCTTTCTGAGGAGGTGGGTCTTAAGGGAGTGGAGGCTCCATGGGCTGGGGGGTGGGCCTGCCTGGTAGGGGATGTCAGACCCACGGATCCAGGTGGCGGTCCCCGCTCTGAGCTTTGTGCTTGTGCAGATTTGGGGGGGGGGCTGCCTGGCAGGCAAGCAAGATGGTGTGGGGAAGGGAGTCACAAAGAGGGACCACCTGGCCCTGTCACACCAGGAGAACTCCGACCTTCGCGCCAAGGTGGAGCGCCTGGAGGCCAGCCTGCAGCAGAAGGTGGAGGAGCTGATGGGGCTGGAGGGCCAGATGGACCGGCTGCGGTGGCGCAAGGAGGAGGAGGCGCGCCGCTTGGAGGAGGACCTGCGGGGGCTCCGGCTCTCCCTGGAGGCCCAGAAAGACTGGGCCCCCGAGGTGCAGGTGAGTGTGGCCGTGGGTCTCTTTCCGGCCCCCGGAGGTTGAGCAGAGCCCACCTGGCGGTTTTGGAAAGCGGTCCATCCCCCCCCTCCACCAGGCTCAGCTGACCAGCCAAACTGCCCCTCCCCTCCCTGTCTTCCTTTCCGAAGCTTGTCTTGCCCCAGTCGGGCCCCTCGGTTGGGTGGAGGGGCTTTTTCAGAATTCCGCACGGTCCCTTCCCACAGGTCCCTTCCCCGCGGTCTTCCGTGGGCCCTCGAAAAGGTGAGCCTGGGGAACGGAAGGCGGCTTCTGCAGGCGACACTGCCCAGCCGTCCATCCAGGATGCTCATGGCAGGCAGGGGTTCTATGCTCCGGATTCCCTTCCTCCCAGTACATCACCAAGACCGTGGAGGTGGACTCCCCGCGCACCCTGCAGGCTGTGGCCGACGCCGAGGAGCAGAACCGGATGCTGGTGGAACAACTCGCGGGCCAGGCGGAGCAGTGCCGGCAGCTGACGGAGCGGCTGCACAGCTCCGAGGAGATCGCAGCTGGCCTGAGGCTCAAGGTAGGTCGGGCCTGGGTTCGAGGGAGTGCTGCGTGGCTGCGGAGCCGCTGATTCCATAAGGCTGAAGGTTGAAGCCGAGGGTTCTTTCAAGGAACTGCGGATTGAGGTTCAAGACTCTGGAAGCAATAAGCCCCCATCCTGCACACTGGAAAGACCATTATCTCAGGGTGCATGAGGGCTAGAGACGTCAGCCTAAGATTCAGTCTCAAAAGAAGTGCAAAATGGGGACGAAACAGGTAACATATTGGCAGTTACTGAGGTGTTAAACAGCTTTCTCTTTCTCGGAGGCTTATGAAGGGCAGCTGGCTAAGCAGAGGGGTGCCCATACAGTGTCTAACGGACCATGCGCCTGAAGTCTAACACATTAAAACGCATTGAGCCGGTACAAGTTACTGCAGGAGAGAGAGAGAAAGGCTAGAAATGGACAGAAGCAATGACTGGTAGATAATTTGGTTTCATTTTACACAACAAGATTCTGATGAGGAGCAATCTAGCTGAGCATAAGAATGTGGGATTTCAGCGGCAGGGGTCGGATGAGCCACATCATTTCCCTCAGGGCCATTTCCTCTTTTGGGGGGTGGGGGGGATGGGTCGTTCACTTGGGTGCCAGATCCGGAGTCTGAAATGACCTCCTGGACAAAATCTGGAGCCTTGCCTTCTGCTTTGGGTCACAGGGCTTCAAGGAAGAAGGAGATGAAGATGTTGAGAAGGGCAGGGGATCCTTTGGGGAAGGGCTATAGAGCAGCCAGGAAGCACAGAAGAAAAAAAGGAGGAAGGGAGACAGAATATTTAGCAATGGGGGCAAAGCGACTCTCTTGGCCTGTGTTTCCGGCGTGGGGGGGGGAATGGTGAGCGGGAGCTGAGATGGAGCTGAAGAGGAGGGGAAGGGAAGGGAAGCCGTCCCGTTTCTCAAGGGGCTTAAGCCACCCGAAGGGCAAACACCAGGGACTAATAGGCAGGACAACAAGGAATGCTATCAGGCCAGCTGGTCGGGTGGTTAAAGTGGCCGAATGGGGCTCGGGAAAGCCTGGTTCTAGACCAGCCATGGCGAACCTA